CTGTACTGGGGAGCCAAAAGCTCTAATGAAACCTGACGTCTGGCACTGTACTGGGGAGCCAAAAGCTCTAACGAAACCTGACGTCCGACACTGTACTGGGGAGCCAAAAGCACTAACGAAACCTGACGTCCGGCACTGTACTGGGAAGCCAAAAGCTCTAACGAAATCTGACGTCCGGCACTGTTTACTAAAAGAATGTTGCTTGCAGATGTAAAAATAAACCAAATAAATTGCAGCAGCACAACACTGTAGCCCCGTAGGAATGGCGCACTGAACTGTGCCTTGTAAAGTACCAGTAAAAGTAGACCACTAATGTCTGATTGGCTGTTTCCTGGTATTTCTAATCTCCAGTCAGAACAGGTCTGGATCTGATCTGAAATCAGACACAGGTAACTGTACCCATTTTCCACTTAAGCGTGATGCCGGAAAGCATCCCAGAGATCCTCCTGAAGGGAGGCGTCCAGTCGCCCTTCCTCATTGTTGCTGTCTTGCTCCTGGAAGGACTCCAACTGGGTGATGTCCCCCACAGGACTCCCCAGCCCAACCTGTGTGGCACCCTGCACATCTGTCACTCCAGAGGTTGTGCGGAGGGCAATGCCATGGGAACGAGCCACGCACTGCCCCCTGCCAACGACGGTCCCCGCCCCCTCCACACTCCACAAACCCCCCACCACTTCACAAGAAGAAGGAAGAACAACAGCTCAGCAGGGGGGGAGGCAGAACGGCTCTGCTTTTGCCCACTCCCCTTTCAACACTCCACTGAGGTACATGATGTCATCATATGTGTCCGTTACCACGTGTGCTAATGAGGCAAAAGCAAACTTTCTGGAAATTAACTAAGAATGCAGACCCTGAGGGATGCATTTCAGCTTGCTTCATCCTGATGTCTTTTTCCTTTGACAGCTCTGGAAGTAACCAAGACAGGGTACATAAACAATGGGTGGACAATATAATGGAAACAACAAATCAGACTTACAAACACAGCCGCAAAAGCAAGCCATATCAGGCTGTGAGCCATTAAGCAGCATTAGTTAGCTATATAACAGTTTTAGCAGTCAGTATTTGGATGTGTGAGCTTTCAAAATAACATGAGGCCAGATAATTGATAGCCGGATCAGGAATGAAAACTGCTAAATTATTCAGTGTGTCAAGGGGAAGAGTCTTAAAAACAATAAAAAAATGACAGGATATTGCAAACAGGGATGAATCTCATCAGCGAAGAAGAACAGAGTTCGTAAGTCAACACCACAAAAGTTTGGCCTCTGAATTGACCGGAGAACTGAATTAGCAGCCCTGTGACTCAATGTGAACAGAAACCATCCGCAACTTCACAGACCTGGGATTTACGGCAGGGCTGCTATTCAGAAACCACTCGCATCCACAGCCAATGCACAGGATCCCTAAGCAATGGAAAAAACGACTATAACCCGATGGGTCATCTTTCAGCCTTTCTCCTACGTTCAGATGAGTTTACGTTTACAGAGAGCCAAAGGATGCCTTCGGCCCTTATTGTCTGTTGGTACAAGCCGCTGTCTCGTGGGAGTCATTAGATCCACAGATCACTGCGCATGGTGGCATAATGGACATGGACTATGGGGCCATTTTACAGGACCAAGTGTTCCCTGTGGTGCAGGCTGCTCCATCACGAAGTTACCACATGCGGCAATATTAATACCCCCCCACACCGCTAAACAAACTCAGGGGTGGGTTCATAAACACCAGGAGGAAGTCAAATACCTTCCCTGACCTCCACAATCACTAGAACTAAACATCACTGAACCCTTATGAGATGTTCTGGTGTGCAGAATGGAAAGCTCCTTCATCCTTCATTTTTATTCTTGAAGAATGGTCCAGTATCATTCGAGACAGTTCAGGACTGAAGCTGTTCTGAAAACAAAGAGTGTCTCTAACCCTTAGGTCAGGGGTTGGCAAACCAATTACGAAGAGCCGCTTTCATACTTAAAAAAATAAAACGGAAAACCACTGAACATGGTGGTCCAGTGGTCAGAATTTTACTGGAAACAGATATTTATTCTAGGCATTTTTTATGTGTAAACAAATAGTAAATCACTTTCAGTATTTCCAAACTTTGGAATAAAGATGGTATGTCCCTAATTTTCTTACATAGTTTTTTTTTTTTTTTATCAGGCAACAAGTGTTCCGCTACTTTGATAAAAGACTCTTTAACACATTCAGCATCGCTGAAGGGCTTCCTGTGCGTTATAACCTCCAGAGATGCCACAGAACTGGCAGTTACTGATAAACTCGGAAGCCTTCTGAACAATGAAAGCTTGCGATCCTGCTGGAAAATCAGTGTCTATTCAAAGATATACAGGGACAAAAATTGCATTGAACAGATTATATTTTATATTTCTATATTTGGGCACAGAGTCAAACTGAAATCAAGAACTTAACTACCAGAATCCATACCGTGGGCCAGCGTGTGCACCAAAGCCAACAGTATCTTCTGTATCCAGCACCTGGTAGGATGGTCTTCTCACAGGGGAAACACGTGACCTGAAAGCAGCCCAACTTTATAAGACATCAAGGTCAAGCAGACGAGAGACAGGACCTCAGGCACAGTTCTAAAAGGGGATTTGTGCATGACCAGTCTGATTTCATTTCCACAGTCTGAACACTGTGCCACATCTGCCCAAATATGAGCTGTGTTCCTCTTAGCAATTCTCATTCAAGTCAGCAGTTCCCCTCTCTATTGTCAGTCAATTTCATATAACGATAATTACAGGGCATTTAAGGATTCCCCTTAAAACCAGTGATACTAAGCTTGAAATTAAACTTCAGCACATAACCCCAAAAAGTATGCAACAACTTAAAAGTACAGTAAATCCCATAAGGAACTTCATTTCTTCATCCTTCCAAAATGTAACACCATAAAAGTACTTATATAGCTGGAAACCAAAGTTTCAGATCCAGATATATTATCTTATTCCCATGGACATGAATCTGCAAGTTTTACGTAACTCCGCCATCTGTGACACTCACCCATTTACTGAAACCTAAGCGCGCTTAATAACAGTGAGAATGATACTCTCATATTTACCAAACTCCAGCATGTGCAATGCTCATCAACACAGGCTTAAAGCAAACTTTCAACAAACCTCTGACCTGACGTTCCCTCTCAGAACTGTTACACAGTAACTAAGATGTTTCCATCAGTCATAGCTGCTCTTTTATGGACTTTCGGCTGTTTGATTTATTTAGATTGAATACAATATGTAGCTTGATGGTTAAATAACTAGTCCAGCCCCACCTACCCATTCTATCCAGTCTATTATCATCATCAGCATGGACATGTGACCTATAGCAAATGACAGGCCTGCTTCCTTTGCCCTCAGAATGCAGTTTTTCATCTCTGACACATTACATAAATTCTCAAAGACATGACAGCAACAAAACCGTCACCAGAGCAGACCCTGCGACAGAGCTGGGAGATAGTAGGAAACACAGACAAATAAAAGCAGTGGCCCCCTTCTTAACTGGAATAGTAAAGATTCTTTCCTCCCACACTCCAAATAAGTGGCATTCAATTCAAACTTCCAGAGCTCTTCCCCTCCCACAAGCCAGTTGATTCCCATGAGCTGCTTTCAGTGACTCTATTATCTAAAAAACATCACACTGTACCACTGAATGTCTGGCATTATGGCTTTTCTAACACATCCTTGTATTTCTTATGGTCAAAGTCAGTTACCAAGAGAAAAACGGGGTCACCGGCAACTGTTTGCATGCCTCACCCCCCTCATCCGTTACGCATGTCGCTCACAGTCAAGTGGGATCACGGGTGGCCCCGTGGCCAGGAGTCTCTTAGCGTGCTGCCCAGTGTGTCGACATGCAGCACGTCAAGAGCCCAGCAAAGGTTGTCAGCCAAAATGGGAAATGACCCCAAACCATATCATCTTTCTGCAGGGAGAGAGAGCATGATGTTGCTCCTGTCACAGCACTTCTACTTTAACGGCTGGATAACAGCGGGTACCAGGAGCCGTCCGGCGTCCAGGTGATAGTGCACTGAAAAACAACCAGCCAACCGCAATGTGGCCCCGTGACCCAGCGCCAAAGTGTACCAGGGGTCATGACTGCGCTGCTAATGAGTTATGTTAGGGGTCTGGGGGCGGGGGGCACGGGGCAGTCATGTTTTTCCTCTGAATATTTCATTCCATGCTGTAATCGTTTGGAGACCGTCCAGCTATCCATTATACATCAATTGAGCTTTGAACTTGATTTACATCTTACTTATATTTCAGCTACGATCTGTATACATTATATACAAATCTACATCAACAGTGCCATCAACGGTGCAAATAAGAATTATTCCGGAAAAAAAGGGGAACGATGCTGAATAGTAAATACAGCCTGCGGTCGAGTGCGATTAGCTTTGCGACTGCCGATGGTTCATGCCGCACACTGTTAGAGAGGCATGCAGGCGACCCGAACAGGGGGATCCGCAAAAGAGTAAAAATATTTTAAAAATAGAATAAAATGATAATTTTACCAAATGAAGCGGATTTCTGCAGAGTGGCACATCTAAAGGGGCGCTCGCTGTGCTCCCCCATTGCATAAAAATAGAATGCCTGTTAATCAGATGCTCTTCAGTCGTCAATTATAGAATTAAACCCTCAGTTTTCTCACTTTGCGGCTTCTCCAAACCGCGTTTTATTACCGATACCAGCTATACACGTCCCCCCTCTGCTTTATATTAAACCAGGCATTTAGTGTAAAGCGCTGTTTTCACACGTATCAGTGATGCTTGAGTAAAATAGCAATAAACGGCGAGAATAAATACATCAGCGGGCATCCTTACACACACGGCGTGTTTACACCTGCTCGGGACGCTACAGCACCGCCGGCCACTGCCTCCACAGCCCACTGCGCAAAAATGTCATTTACACGGGAAAGCGGGACGCCGAGCACAGCCACAGCATCCCAGAGGCGGAGGGTAAAAACAGTTTTGGGGGTGTTACCGAAAAAAGAGGCGCAGGACTTACCCCTCAGCAGGACGGCGGCGACGATTCTGTGAACGGCGCAGCAGGTGCAGTGTGACTGTCACTATAACTGCGCCTCGCGATCCCGCAGCCTCGCGCCGCCCCCGACCGGCTCCGCGTGCGTGCGTGCGCGCGTCACCGCTGGCGCGCCGATAGGAGGGGGGGGAACTGTGCGCGCTCACTCGCCCGCCTTCTCTCTCACACATACATACACACATACATACACACTATTAGTGTGTATATACGTGAATATACAGTGTTCTTACGACACTGATTACAGAGCTATTTAAAAGAGTGACTTACAAGTATAACGCGTCTATGTAGAGCTATAATTGGGTTATTAACAGATTAACATTTTTTTAAAAGTCGTTCTGGTGGAAACGGGTTTTTTTTTTAAATACCAGACAGATGGCCAGCTTGTGTCTGGAGCTTACAACATTTCCCACATTAGTAGGCCCGTGTATTGATATACCCGTCATTTGCGCGGAGAGATTAATTTCAGCGCCGACTCTGCGGGACGAGGCTCCCCCAGTGAGGCTGACTGAGGCTCCCCCAGTGAGGCTGTGTGGTCAGCCAGCCGTCCTGCAGAGACGGTCTGTGGAAACTGGAGATTCCAATTTTTTTTAAACGCTAATTAAGGGCATCCCACACAACCAATTACACAAAGAGATACACTTAGTGCCCAGTTAGGTAGGTACAGTTGCTTGCTGATGCACACAGCCTGCTCCTCCAAGCAGCTCGTGGCTGCAAGTGTAAAAATACAGCTAATAGATCAGGGCAAGGGCTCAATATGCTCTTCATCTAGATGTTTGTACAGCTAAAACATCCCATACAAGGGTTTATGAACACAATGTGATGTTTGGTCCGGTAAGTGGAAGTGCAGGCATGCCAGAAACAGCCCTCTTTCTGGCATTTTCACACACTACAATGCCTGGAGTTTATTAATGGTATGATGAACAAAAAAAAACATCAAGTCAATTCCATTTCTGTGCCTGGAAACATCTTGTTAATGAAACTCGTTAAACAGACTCTTTAAGGTTAACAGGAATAGGACACCAGTGGTCTACAGGAAGGCTTCTCTAATGGCGCCTTTCCACTGGCATGACAGGACCCGACTCGTACCCAAGCCGTACCGCGAAAAGAGAGTCAATTCTGTTCAGCTGTTCTATAATACTTTTTTCAGTAGGAAGTTGGAAATAAAGTTCTGAGTTTTTAGGAATGCATAAATTCACTGTAATGTACGATACTACTAATAATGAATAATATATAGAATATGGCTTTTTTCTTCAGATAATCCATGCATATCGATGCAGATCACAGCTATCTCCATGCATTTTTACCAATCAGATGATGCTTACATAACCAGCCTGGTTTAGGCATGCATACGGGTCCGGCTTGCACACATCACAGTGAAAAACACCCAGTTCGCAGTACAGGTTGAGTACTGCTCGATTCTGGGTGGCAGTGGAAAACACAGTGGAATGTGTATTGTCTACCCTTAAAAAGTGGTTGTGGAGACTAGCTAGGTGTACCCAACAAAGAGGCCACTGAGCGGATATAGACATAAGATGTGTATTTAAATAATTCCTCGTAGGGGTCTTCATACATGCTAATGTTCAGAGTTGTTCAGTAAAGGTGGATTATAACCCACATTCTATCATCACTGCTCCAAAAGAAACTAGACAACTGCAGCAAGAAAAGCTTCACAAGGCTTAAGAAGCCCAGAAAATGCATGTCTCCCAGCTAGGGGGTGGGGGGGGCGGGGTACAGCTGGAGCGTCAATCCCAGAATGTCTAGTTACCAGTCTCATCTGGTCTCCATCACTGGGTGGCTTCTGACCGGAACCTCCTGAGGCTAGATAAATACTATTCAGTATTAAAGTAGCAGCAGTCTACCCGGGTATCATGGGAGGTGGGGTGGGGTTTGGGGGCTGGGGGGCAAATCTGTGAATTTTCTATAAGGAGTCTCCTGAAAGGAATGATCATTTTGGGACTGGCTCATTTCATTGTGTGGTGCTGTATATTTTTCTATGTGCTGTGCCGTTGCAAAGGGGATTTGCCAGGCATTTCGGAAAAGCATCCCATTTCATGTGCAGGTTCATCGCAGCCATGAGTATCAGCATGAAATTAGTGCTTTGAACAGGAGGACAGTCCTACCTGTTTATCGTCAAACAGCAGTGCAAGCTGACAGTGGGTTATGATAAATGTTTGGTCAGATAAATCTTGGGTCTGTGTGATGCGACAGGCATCATTTTGCCTGGAGTGACAGGAATACATGATAAATCGAGTCATCTCTGCACAGTATGGTGTCCTAAGCCTTGCCAGATGTTTATTTTACTGTTTGAATTAAGCCACTGAAACGGCTCTCATTGTAAGACTCAAACGTGGAGGAATCGTACATGGAGGACTCGTACGTGAAGGACTCGTACGTGAAGGACTCGTACTTGGAGGACTCGTACGTGAAGGACTCGTACTTGGAGGACTCGTACGTGAAGGACTCGTACT